CCTCGAACATTTTTTTGCCCATTCTTTCGTCATCCAACACCGATATCCGTAAAAATGCAAATGGAATATCCAAGGCTTGATCACGAAGACCACATCTTCGAATATCCACATTGCACTAACACTCTTCTTCAACCATCTTCAAGATCCAATGTGAAGCTAAAACACCAATAAGAAAAATGACATGGAAAATCAAGCTCTAAGGAAAATTCCTCATCACTCGAATCAACAATGCCACTTCCACTAACACAAGTGCTAGCAATATCAATGCTTTAACTACACACCTTTTCCATCCAACAATCTACTCCAAGTGTTAATGGATAAACCAACAAGCCATAACAAATGAATGCTATAACCCTTTTCCAACACTTTACGGGTAAATCCTCAAGGAACAAAGAACTAACTTAAACTTAGCATAATGGACCACCATTGATAATCCAGTCAAAACTACTACAATGCTACTTCGTGCAAGTAGATTAGCCTCACCATCAACCACTTTGGGGTTGATCATCATAACCAAGCAACTTCGTAAACACATTGCTCATTATCACATGGATATGATATAAGTATCACAATGGCTTGATCATCAATTGAGTAACACCACGAGCAATGCCAATGTCATTACTTCAAAGGTTTATGTGAATATCAAGTGTCAACTCGACTCGACAAAATGCAACATAAATGCCACACTCACCGATAGAGATTTACAACACTAAACACCACTAACTTTTGTTCACAATATGGACAAGCTCATGCCACTCTTTTTTCGACCAAACTCAAAACTAATCCAACACCAAGCTACTCAATGAGCAATAGCAAGGTTCCTCATAAAAGAATTGAGCATTGCAACCCAAGTCTTCCCATAGCAAGCCTAGACAAAATGGTTTAGCGCTTCACCGCTATCCATCCCATGACTCACCATTTGTAAGACCATCATAATCAACATGCATCAAGATAGGGACTCTTGATTGCATAATGTGAATACGAGCAATGAGTCAACACCTCATTGCGAATCATTTCTTCAAGGCCCTCAAAGGCCCTCAAAGAGTATGTGGATGAGAACCTTGCCTCAGGGTACATTTAGCATTTGCAGTCCCCAGCTGGAGCACCTATCTTTATTCTATGTTTTCTTCACACTTATCATAACTCCCTTATTTTATGTGAGTACCTGGGACATCACTATATGATTGAAAAGCTATGCATTTTTATATTAGCTAGAGATGCAATAAAATATCATCTGATATATGCAAAATTATATCTAGTATCAAACTCATAATACTCCCATTGTGCTACAAAAAAACTGTTGGCATGAATTGTAATTTTCTTATTTATTTGAGTTGATGGTGTTCAATTTGATGGGGCCTTTCCATGATTAACTATTAATAATGAGTTATATTATGATTGTTTTTGACTACATGACTCAATGGATTGGAGTTAGTGTTTTAGCTAGTGCATCTCCTCTAATGTCAAGACCCCTGACAAGATCAAGACTGGAAAATGCAAAAAGACAAAGAGAAAAGCTAGTGGAAACAAAGAAGAGGCCTTAGACTGGCATTGATTCAGATTGTGGAGAAATGGAACAAGGCTAACCTATATATACTATAGGTTGATGAAGCTCCACCACTCTTGGATCGAGGACGGCCTAAATATAGTTGAGGTCAAGGAAGCGCCACATCATCATCAGGAATGGGGCTCGAGACTCAGGAATCGGGAAGTGTCTCGAGAGTCAGGAATAGGGAAGTGTCTCGAGAGTCAGGAATAGGGAAGTGTCTCGAGAGTCAGGAATGTGGTCTGCAGGTCAGGAATCCGGCGAGAGTTAGGAATGTGGCAAGAATTGGGGGATTCCTGACATCTAACATCATTGATAATCTTGCTCACTACCTAGCCAAGTTTTATGTCTAATAGGAATTTGGTAGCATGGGTGGTAATATAACTGTGTATAACCTTCTTAGTAGACCTTATTTTGGAGATAAACTATCACACCTACCCTAAATTTTTAACAATTTTATTAAAAATTCACATATTTTATAATTATACCCTTTAATGATCTAATGAGCTGACCAAACCACATTCACAAAAAGTGTATGCTTCTTTATCTAAGATGTCAAAACATGAAATGCCTCATCTATAAATATAAGACCATTATCTAAGAGAATTTAATTGGGACAAGAATTCTAGAGGGATGGTTATATATATATATATATATATATATATATATATGGGAGGGGAAAAATATTAGTGGCTCACTATATAAGCTTTTATATAGTCATAATTCTATATTGCCAATGAAATTATATTTACCATTGCAATTGTTTCAAATAACTAATATTAGGTCCTAAAACTAGTATTTAAAGAATATTCTTCCATTAGTCCACTACTAAACACTTGGACACTTAGAAATCCTATGCAATCTGTGTTAAGTACCTAATGTTAATTTATTTTCCCAATCTTATGGTATATAGTTTGTATAAAGGGGTTCTTGCTTAGTGAAAAAGGAATATATTGAGTGTTATAACAAAGTTTATAAAACTTGACACAACATTTGATCTTGTAAAAATTGTGTATATGCAACAACTAAAACACTTTTTACAAAGGAATCAAGAACAAGTTGCACTACCTGCAGATCTTCTACTATGTCTTTATGACATTTGTTTAGATCTACCAAAAAACCCTAATTTAGAAAAGGTTTAGTACATACATTATTATTAATTTGATTCAATTTGAACCACTTGTTTTTGTATATAAGCTAGTGTTTGGGCTAATTCAAATATGCAATTATAAGTTTTCACATTAGTGGAAGTAAGGGACAACTCTAATTTATCTATAAGAAGCACTCAAAATTTATGTTTTTTTTTTGCCTAAATCTTCTTTATCTTTCAAAAGAGTCTTTCCACAAAATTTATTTCACTCTTATAAATTTACCTTCTTTTCATTCATAGTTGAAGAGTAAGCTCCTCCTTTGCAGTAGCCTCCTCTTTGTTGTGGAGCAATAACTCATACAATTGTTCAAAGCTATATAGTGGGTACAATAATTATTAGATGTTAAAATATAATAAGAATATGTTAAAATATAGTAAGAAATTTCATAAATTATAAATATAGTTAGAGTTTATAAAGATAAACTAATCTAAATATAACATTATAATAGAATATCAAGGCATTTTTTAGGTTTTCCTATAGGTTTGGAAAAACATTTACAAATTTATTTCATAATTGAAAAAGTTTATACATATTTATAATTTATCAACACAGGATTAATCTAAATATATATCAAGTAAATTTTCCCAGTCATAAGTCACAAGTTTGTGGAAAGTGTTTGATAGTTTCAGGTTAAATTCTTCCTTGTAGAACGTGCTATTGCCCAGGTTTCCCTTCTTTTTATTTAAATTTATATTTAGCTAAAATTTGATGCCAATTTTATTTGTTTGATTTTATTATTCCAGCTTTGTTGATTCTTTTGATACATTCTTCATTTGATACCTGTTTTATCTACAATAGAATACTATATTCTTGCTTAGTTGCTCATCTTTACAAATAAATTTCAAGGAATATATCTATGTTCTTGAAATTTGGTAAATATTTTTATCTATAAATAATAAAACAATTAAATAATAATAGAATTAATTTAGGTAAAGGACAAAAGTAGATATAGAGGATTCTTATATAAGCCTTCACATTAGTTTAACTTTAAATTAATTATTTCAAACTTATCTTGGAGTATTAGAATAAAATATTTGGGTTACAAAAACTTAAATATTTTTTAATAATATTTTGAAAAATTAAAAAATTGATATTGGTATTATAAAATAATCTGCTATAATCTGGACCATCCAATATTTCTATAAGTATGGTTATAGTATTTCTTTAAAAAGGTATTATGGCTTTAGGCATTATACTAATGTTTTTATTTAGATCAATTAATGCTGCTGAGGTTGGCTTTAGACCAGAAGATACAGGTTATATAAATTCAAATGCTACAAATAGGATTATATCATCTCTACTTTTAATGGTAAGAGCTCAAATTCCTCCTGCTACAGAAGTTCCATTAGGTCAAGGTATCAAAGGTGAGGTAACTTTGGCAGATGAAGTATACGGTAAAATAAGTGTAAATGTACAAATATGGCTTTATAGCCATGAAAGAGGGAAAAGTTTCAGGCATTGTTCTACTTATCCTACTGGAGAGAATGGTAACACTACTGTCATTATATTAGATTTACTTTACTTATTAATGTATTACCGTCCTATTCTTGTATCTTTAGGTTCTAGATTGATTGCTTTAACATCAGGAATTTATGGTATTTACTATTGGGTTAGAAATGTACCTCCAGCAAGGCAGCCTAGCTTGAGAACATCAAATCAGTTTATTAATACATTAAATAAGCTTAATAGTTTTAATGATTGTCATATTTCCTTGAATACATTAATTAGCTCTACAATTCATAATATTTTATTAGAATTCCATTTTATAACATCTCCAAATCAAAAAGCATACCTATATTTGCATCCTAATTGCAAATTAGAATTATATATTGGAAATAAATCAAAGTGGTTTAAATCAGGAAATTATATAAGATGTTATCTTGTATTACAGGATGATGGAAATCTAGTTTTATATAGCATAAACAAAAAAATTGTGTGGTCACCAAATGAATATTGTTATCCCCAACCAAACTGTGTTATGAATTCATATCTTTCATTACAAAACAATTGTAATTTAGTTTTGTACCAAAATATACAAGATACGTTTTCTAAAGTACCAAGAGTTCAAATCCTTTGGTCAACTGGTACTTTTTGTAATTAAAAACATTAATATAAAATTATTATTTATATTGTCTGCGGTACAGAAGGTAACACTTGTCGAAGTTCCCAAAGAGCAAATTTGGGAATTCTTGGGAATGCCAGCACCGAACACATCATCCCGCCCAGTGGAGATTGAAGCAAGGAATTGCTTCACAAGACATGGGCAATATTTAGTTTTTTCTTTTGTAAGCTTTTGATGGTTTCTAATTAATGGTTTCTACAAGACTGTTTAGTTGTTCCGTGAAATCAATTTGATCAAGCTGCTCCTTGGCCCGGTGGCTATCTCCATGTGTCTTGTAAGCACCCAGCAGCGTTCTCATTGCGACATCATCAGCCTCTACCGGCATGCCTTGGATCAATTCCTCGGCGTCTCTCAGCTGGCCAGCTCGAGCAAGCAGATCGATCATGCACATAAAATGGTCACGAACCGGCTGGATCCCGAAGTCTAGCTGCATGGACACGAAGAAGGAGCAGCCATCTTCGTATCGCCCCCCATGGCTGCAAGAGAAGATGACGCTCACGAACGTGATCTCGTCCGGATCAACACCTCGCAAGACCATCGCTACAAACAGCTCCAGCGCCTCCCAGAAGCAGCCGTTTTTGGAGTACGAAGCCATCATCGTGTTCCAAGCGACGAGGTGGTTTGGAGCCGGGATTTGCTCGAACACCGCTCGCGATTCCTCCAGGTTCCCACACTTCGCATAGAGATTCATGAGAGCGTTCCCGACAACGATGTCCCGATCCAATCCGGCCTCCACAACCGCGGCGTGGATCATCCGTCCCTCCACGATCGAAGGAATGCTCGCACAGGCGTCCAGCACGCCCACGTAGCTGAACTTATCGGGATGGAAGCCCTCCACCACCATTCTCTTGAAGAGTTTGAGCGATTCGACATGGCCACCCTCGCCAGAGCTCGAAGAAGCGTACATCGCGATCATGATGTTCCACGAGTTGAGATCCCGCGTGATCATGGCATCGAACATCTCCCTGGCTTTGGAGAGGCGCCTGTTCTGCGTGTAAGCCGTGACCATCGCATTCCACGACACAGTGTTCTTTACGGGCATGTCTTGGAACACGGCCTCAGCATCTGCAAGATGCCCGTTCTGGGCATACGCAGCAACCATCGCCGTCCACGTCACTACATTCTTCTCGGGCATCTCCTGAAAGACTTGAAACGCTTCTTGGGCACTTCCACACTTCCCATACATGTCTACGAGCGCGGTCCCCAGCACGACGTCGCAATTGTAGTCTTCCCCGGAAGCGACGATCGTGGAGTGGATGATCTTCGCTACTGCAATTCCCGCAGGCGCATCTAGAGCTTGGATCACACTCAGATATGATACCTTGTCCGGCTCAACTCCCTGGAAATCCATCTCTCGAAACAGCTCCAGCGCCTCTTGCATAAGCCCATTCTGGGCAAATGCTGCTACCATCGCGTTCCAGGCCACCACGTCTCGAACTGGCATATGGCGAAACAATGATCTTGCGTCGTCGAGGTTGCAGCTTTGCGCGCAAGCAACCAAAATCGCCGTCCAGGAAATGGCGTCCCAAAGAGGCATCTTCCTGAACAGCGTATGTGCCTTCTGCAAATGCCCATTCTGGGCAAATGCGGAGATCATCGTGTTGAGCGAGTAGATGTTGGGTGTCTCGATGCGCTCGAACGCGGCGATGGCGTCGCCGAGTCTCCCACACTTTCCGTACATCTGGACGAGGTTGTTTCCCAGATACGTATCGCGGTCGTAGCCGGCGAGCGCGATCCGTTCGTGGAGCCGGCGACCCTCTCCCAGTGCCTTGGCGCTGGCGCACCGCCGGAGGAGAGATCCAAATCTTCCCACATCGATCGCGTTCTTTCCAGAGTCGCGGAGGAGGAGCCCATCGATCGCCTGCTTGAGCTGCTCGCGCAAACTCTTGTCGCTTAATCTGGGCGATGCTGCTGCTGCTGCTGCTGGATGCTCGTCGTCGCAGCTTAAGTTCTTGCCCACCACTTTTCCTATATTTTAAACTCCATTGGTAATATTAGTTTTGCTTGAACTCTATTGATGTTATGATTAAGTAGTAGTTCTCTAGTAAAGGTTATATATAACTCTAGTACATTAGTGTTTGCTATCATTTCTTCAAATGCTTAATTTAAAAGATTTTATAACTTGCCTCCAACCTTCAAGGAGGTATTAAGATTTTAATATATAAATAATTTTGTTTTATAGATCACAATCACTTTAGAGTTTTTAGAACTTGAGGCTCTGGAAGTTTTTACAAAGAGCTAGACCATTCTTGAGCTCACAAGTTAAAGAGTTGAATTTATGAGTTAAGTTTGATACAAACATTATAAGCTTTAACATATTATGGCAAATATTTTCACAACTCTCTGAATATTATATAAATATAAAGGAATACATATATTGATGGAGCTATTTGTTTGTAAATTATAATAGAAGTAAATTTAGGTGGACTTAAATAATTAAAAGAATTATATAAGCCACTCCATGAATGTAAGCCCTTCATATAATATTAATTTTAAATAACTATTCCAAAACTATTTTGGAGTATTAGAAAAAATGACATTGTGAATAACAAAGAATTAAATATTTGTTTTATGAAGATGTAAACATATTTAGAAACAGTGAGGTTGGCATTATAAATATCTCAATTTGTTATAATCTGGACCATCCAATATTTGTATAAGTATGTTAGTATTCCTTTAAAAATTGTATCATGTCTTTAGGCATTATATTAATGTTTTTATTTAGATTAATTAATGCTCCTGAGGTTGGCTTTCGACCAGAAGATACAGATTATATAAATTCAAATACTACAAATAGGATTATATCAGCTCTACTTTTAATGGTAAAAGCTAAAATTCCTCCTCATGCAGCAGTACCATTAGGTCAAGGTATCAAAGCTGAGGTAATTCTGCCAGATGAAATATATGGTAAAATAAGTGTGAATGTACAAATATGGCTTTATAGCCATGAAAGAGGGAAAAGTTTCAGGCATTGTTCTGCTTATCCTACTGGAGAGAATGGTAATACTACTGCCATTATATTAGATTTACTTTACTTATTAATGTACTACCGTCCTATTCTTATATCTTTAGGTTCTAGATTAATTGCTTTAACATCAGGGATCTATGGTATTTACTATTGGGTTAGAAATGTACCTCCAGCAGGGCAACCTAGCTCTAGAACATCAGATCAATTTATTAATACATCAAATAAAATTAACAATTTTAATGATTGTCATATTTCCTTGAATACATTAATTAGCTCTACAATTCATAATATTTTATTAGAATTCCATTTTATAACATCTCCAAATCAAAAAGCATACTTATATTTGCATCCTAATTGCAAATTAGAATTATATATTGGAAATAAATCAAAGTGGTTTAAATCAGGAAATTATATAAAATGTTATCTTGTATTACAGGGCCTTCCTCTCCCGCCCCATGCGGCTTGGCTGCCTCCCATTGGCCGGGAGCAAACATCAGCGCGATTATTCTCAAACACGTGGTTAAAGAAATAACCCCTTTACAGTTACCCCCCATCGGACAGCCCAATTGGCTGGATCCGGCGGCCCACAAAGTTCGGCATTTGCTCCTTATAGTAGTAGATAAACAAAAAAATTGTGTGGTCACCAAATGAATATTGTTATCCCCAACCAAATTGTGTGATGAACTCATATCTTTCATTACAAAACAATTGTAATTTAGTTTTATACCAAAATATACAAGATACGTTTTCTAAAGTACCAAGAGTTCAAATCCTTTGGTCAACTGGTACTTTTTGTAATTAAGAAACATTAATATAGAATTATTATTTATGTTGTTCTTCCCAATCTTCTACTTCATTCCAGCGTCCCATGTCTGTAGTACCCATGTCTGTGGTACACAAGGTAATGCTTGAAAGAGTAAATTTGGGAATTCCTGGAAATGCCAGCACCAAACCCAGTGGTGATTGAAGCAAGGAATTGCTTCACAAGACATGCCAATTTTTTGTCTTTTTCTTTTGTAAGGTTCGATAGAACGAAAATGGATGCTTGAATTTCACTCTACAAGACTGTTTAGTTGTTCCGTGAAATCAATTTGATCAAGCCCCTCCTTGGCCCGGTGGCTATCTCCATGTGTCTTGTAAGCACCCAGCAGCGTTCTCATTGCGACATCATCAGCCTCTACCGGCATGCCTTGGATCAATTCCTCGGCGTCTCTCAGCTGGCCAGCTCGAGCAAGCAGATCGATCATGCACATAAAATGGTCACGAACCGGCTGGATCCCGAAGTCTAGCTGCATGGACACGAAGAAGGAGCAGCCATCTTCGTATCGCCCCCCATGGCTGCAAGAGAAGATGACGCTCACGAACGTGATCTCGTCCGGATCAACACCTCGCAAGATCATCGCCACGAACAGCTCCAGCGCCTCCCAGAAGCAGCCGTTTTTGGAGTACGAAGCCATCATCGTGTTCCAAGCGACGAGGTGGTTTGGAGCCGGGATTTGCTCGAACACCGCTCGCGATTCCTCCAGGTTCCCACACTTCGCATAGAGATTCATGAGAGCGTTCCCGACAACGATGTCCCGATCCAATCCGGCCTCCACAACCGCGGCGTGGATCATCCGTCCCTCCACGATCGATGGAATGCTCGCACAGGCGTCCAGCACGCCCACGTAGCTGAACTTATCGGGATGGAAGCCCTCCACCACCATTCTCTTGAAGAGTTTGAGCGATTCGACATGGCCACCCTCGCCAGAGCTCGAAGAAGCGTACATCGCGATCATGATGTTCCACGAGTTGAGATCCCGAGTGTTCATGGCATCGAAGATCTCCCTGGCTTTGGAGAGGCGCCTGTTCTGTGCGTAAGCCGTGATCATCGCATTCCACGACACGGTGTTCTTCACGGGCATGTCTTGGAACACGGCCTCAGCATCTGCAAGATGCCCGTTCTGGGCATACGCAGCAACCATCGCCGTCCATGTCACTACATTCTTCTCGGGCATCTCCTGGAAGACTTGAAACGCTTCTTGGGCACTTCCACACTTCCCATACATGTCTACCAGCGCGGTCCCCAAGACAACATCCGACTTGTAGTCTTCCCCGGAAGCGACGATTGTGGAGTGGATGATCTTCGCTACTGCAATTCCCGCAGGCGCATCTAGAGCTTGGATCACACTCAGATATGACACCTTGTCCGGCCCAACTCCCTGGAAATCCATCTCTCGAAACAGCTCCAGCGCCTCTTGCATAAGCCCATTCTGGGCAAATGCTGCTACCATCGCGTTCCAGGCGACCACGTCTCGAACTGGCATTTGGCGAAACAACGATCTTGCATCGTCAAGGTTGCAGCTTTGCGCGCAAGCAACCAATATTGCCGTCCAGGAAATGGCGTCCCAAAGCGGCATCTTGCTGAACAGCGTGCGTGCATGATGCAAATGCCCGTTTTGGGCAAATGCGGAGATCATCGTGTTGAGCGAGTAGATGTTGGGTGTCTCGATGCGCTCGAACGCGGCGATGGCGTCGCCGAGTCTCCCACACTTTCCGTACATCTGGACGAGGTTGTTTCCCAGATACGTATCGCGGTCGTAGCCGGCGAGCGCGATCCGTTCGTGGAGCCGGCGACCCTCTCCCAGTGCCTTGGCGCTGGCGCACCGCCGGAGGAGAGACCCAAATCTTCCCACATCAATCGCGTTCTTTCCAGAGTCGCGGAGGAGGAGCCCATCGATCGCCTGCTTGAGCTGCTCGCGCAAACTCTTGCCGCTTAATCTGGGCGATGCTGCTGCTGCTGCTGGTGGATGCTCGTCGTCGCAGCTTAAGTTCTTGCCCACCACTTGCCTTCTCACGAAATGGGCGTCAAGGATCGCTCTAGCTGGGGACAAGCACGAAAATCTTCTTCGCTGGGAAAGAGCTTGCATTCATCCTTCTTGAAGTTTGATTGATCGCATATTCTAGAATCTTTACCTCGAGCTTTTTCTTCCTGGAACAAACCCACACATTAGACGTGTAGAAAGAAAGAACTCTTCTACCTCGATCGATCTTGTCGAACTTTCTCTAGTCTTCAATGTCTTCGAAAAAGGATCCCAGTGTCTTTCGAAGCATGGTGAAGGATTTGTCTTCCTGGCACACGACTCTCACTCAGCACGAGAACGAAAAAAAATAAACTTGCCCACCTGAGACTTCTTCTTGACTTGTTCCTCGGCTGCTGCGATTTTGTCCGAGCAGCTCTTTTGCAGGTCACTCACAAGCGTTTTCTCCTTTTTCCCTGTAGAGAAAAAACACTTTAGTCCATGTTATAATCTGTGTAAGCGATAGCGTAGGACTCGCGGAAGTGGTTCTTACTCTGCTGCTCAAGTCGCGTGAGCAAGGCCTCTTTACCCTCTTCGAACTTGGAGAAAGTATCTGCAGTAAGTAGCATTACTCGACAGAAAGGAAAAGAGAAACGATTAAATGGTACCTTCGTATGATCGAAGATGATCCTCTCTTTCTTTGCAGAACTTCTCGTAGATTGACTGGTACTTTGTGGCTTCGGCTTTTAACGATGCCTCGCACTGCGACAAAGAAACAAAACAATGGAGCAAATTATTTGAGGAAGAACTAGATTGTTTACTTCTTTCGCCAGCTTCGTAGCAGCCTTGAGGAGAGTTTGCCTGAATGGATGCACGCAATTCGAATGAGAACGCACAAAACATGGATGAATACCTCTCCTTGTCGGATTTGAGCTTCGCTTCGTCCGCTAGGGAAAGAATGTCCGACTTGACACTGATTCATTCCACGCAAGAACTAAGCCACACCATACCAAAACACACATGCAAACCTGTTGAGAATCTCCTCGTTCTTCTTCTGGCCATCAGTCTTCGCCTTCTTGCGCACTTGCTGGAGGGCCGTGAGAATACCCTGGATGTCGCTGCACCAAAAACAATCGATCGATCGATCCAATCGACTATAATCCAGACAAGAATCCCTCACCTTGACAGATCTAGTCCAAGATCGGCATCCGCGCCAGGAATTTCCCCTGGCGCCATCGCAGCGCCATCGCTCCTCGCATGCCTCTTCGACACGGCAGCCATAGGAAGTGAAAATTCCCGCCCAGGGCTCTTGAGTTTAAAATCAAACGGAGGAAAATCTTCCGCCAGATACCGGCATATTCTGTTAAGAGATGCCGGCATATACCTTCTACACGACATCGTCGGCGAGCGAGAGGATCTTCACGAATTTCTTCGCGCGGAGCTCCGCCGCGACGGGGCCATAGACGCGCGTTCCAACGGGCTCGCCCTCCTTGTTGATGATCACCACCGCATTCTCGTCGAACCGGATGTGCGATCCATCGCGGCGGCCCTTTTGCATCCTCGCGCGCACGATCACGGCCCGGACGACGTCGCCCTTCTTCACCTTGGTGCTCTCCTTCTCGAATTTCTTGATCCTCTTCTTGCCGCTGGCGGCCTCCTTTACCGACGCCACGATCACGTCCCCGATGCTGCCTCCGATCTTGCGCGCCTTGGCCTGGATGCACCCGACGATCTTGGCGCCGGAGTTGTCCGCGACATTGAGCTTGGTCCTCATCTGGACGAAGCACCGGGTTTGCTGCGCCACACAAGAGATCGATCGATCGAGCAATGCGGGAGAAATTCGTGGGAGATCAAGACTAGCACCTGGAATACGGCAGGCCGGGACATGATCTGGTAGCCAGGATCGACGCGTAGCCCGCCAGAGGTCCACACTCGGCTCCATAGCGCCCCGGTGGGCGCAATCCCTCGCAGCGCCATCGCCCTAGCAATAAACCCTAAACCTCTGGCAGGAATATGCTCGTCCTGCGCGGGGAATATACCCGTTTAGCTATGGCGAGCGCCTTGCAAACAAGCTGCCGTATTCTCGGAAGAGCACACGCCCGTCGCGCGAATATTCCACGTTCTTGTAGAGCTATATTCTTCGCTACTAGGCTTGGGTCCTCCGTGAGCGCCTATACTCCAGCGCTTCCACCGAGGTCTAGGGTTCCTCATTTGTGTTGCTCCGCCGGGACGAGGAGAATGGCGGCGCTGGCAATCGACAAGGAGCTAAATCCTCTCCTCAAGGATGGATCGTTGCCTCTCTACGACAAGGTCGATGCAACGCACGTCGTCCCCGGGATCCGGCAGCTGCTGGAAGAACTGGTAATATTTCTCTGGATTCCACGATTGTCTTGACTTGATCGCGCAGGAAGCGGAGCTTGTCAAGCTGGAGCAAAATCTCAAGCCTGATTGGGAATCCCTTGTTCATCCCCTGGAGCGCATCACGGATCGATTGACTGTGACGTGGGGAATCGTTGAGCACCTGAAGGCTGTCAAGGATAGTTCCGAGCTACGCGCGGCTGTCGAAGAAGTACAGGTATCTCTTTCTTTGATCTTCTTTGCAAAAAAGCTATTCTTGCTGTCTTTCTGTAGCCCGAGAAAGTGGCTTTTTTGCTGAGACTCGGCCAGAGCAAACCTCTCTATAAAGCTTTCAAGGAGATTCAAGACGGACCAGGATTTAAGAATCTCACGGACGCTCAGAAGAGAATTGTGGAAGGTAAAATGCTAGCTTTTCTCCTGTTTTTCATCGATGCTTGCTTGTGAAACCTGCAGCTCAGTTGAAGGAGGCCACGCTTAATGGTGTAGCGCTAGAAGGAGAGGACAAGAAACGATTCAACGAGATTGAACAGGTATTTTGTTCTTCTCATAGGCGTTTGCTGATGGTGTATGTGGTGGCAGGAATTGGAACTTCTTGGGACGAAGTTTAGCGAGCATGTTTTGGACTCGACCAAGAAGTATCAAAAGTTAGTCGTAGATAAAGCTGATATTGAAGGACTGCCACCCACTGCTCTTGGTTTGGCTGCACAGACGGCATGCTCAAAGGTAAAGTTGCGACTTAATCACAACTCGGGACTTATTGTTCTCTTTTGTAAGGGTCACGAGGGTGCTAACGCAGAAAACGGACCATGGATGTTTACGCTAGACCTGCCTAGCTACATGCCCGTGATGAAATTTGCAAAGAATCGAGCTTTGCGGGAAGAGATGTATCGGGAATTTATCACTGTTGCCTCTGAAGGTGACCTGGACAATACTCCTGTGATCAACAAAATTCTGGAACTCCGCTTGGAGAAAGCGAAGCTACTTGGCTACAAGAATTTTGCCGAGGTACTTTTTAGCGTCGAGCTTACAATCTGAGCAAAAACGCGTCTTTACAGGTCAGTATGGCTATGAAAATGGCAACAACAGAAACTGCTAATGAGCTCTTAGAAAAACTTCGTCTCAGCTCATGGGATGGTGCTCTTAAAGGTGCTTCAACTATTATTGTTTCCTTGGTTCAAACAATTTTTGTTTCTTCTCCTTTTTTTCAGATTTTGAGGAACTAAAGTCCTTTAGTAAGTCCAAAAATGCACCAGAAGCTGATGATCTTTCTCACTGGGATCTAACTTATTGGAGCGAACGCTTGCGTGAAGACAGATACGATGTTAATGAGGTAAATTGTATTCTAGATTTTCTTATATATGATTCGGAGGTCTACATTGTGTAGGAAGAACTGCGGCCTTACTTTTCGTTGCCAAAAGTAATGGATGGGCTGTTCAACCTTGCCAAATATCTTTTTGGCGTTCAGATTGAACCTGCAGACGGCATGGCACCTGTACGTTTGTCAGCGTGTTTGTTGTTTCGCTTTAACTTGTTCTCTTTTTTCTTTTTGTGTTTTTTTTCTTTTGTTTTGTTTTTGCTAACAGGTCTGGAACAAGGACGTGAGCTTTTTTCAAGTGAAAGACTTGGCTGGTGAGCCTTTAGCTTTCTTTTACTTCGATCCTTATTCGAGGCCCTCGGAAAAGCGGGGTGGTGCTTGGATGGATATTGTGGTGGGACGGAGCCGTGTCCTTGCACCCCGAGGCAGCTCTGTGCGCTTACCTGTTGCTCACATGGTTTGCAACCAAACGCCTCCTGTTGGAAACGAGCCTAGTCTAATGACATTCCGGGAGGTACGATTTAAAACGTATTTCACTATTTCAACTTTCTTTGTAGGTGGAAACTGTGTTCCATGAATTCGGGCATGCGTTACAGCACATGCTCACTAAACAAGACGAAGGTTTAGTCGCAGGAATCCATGGTGTTGAATGGGATGCTGTGGAGCTTCCTTCTCAATTCATGGAGAATTGGTGTTACGATAGGTTTGTTGATATTTATTTAAAAGTTTGTTTCTAATCATGCAAACTACAGGAAAACTCTCATGAGCTTTGCCGTCCACTATAAAACGGGTGAGCCATTATCAGAGGATGTGTACGAGAAGCTCAAGGCCGCAAGGACGTTCCGGGCTGCATCTTTGATGATGCGTCAAGTAAGTATTTGCTTAAAAGCTCAGCTGACGCTGGTTTGGTTTTTGCTTTGCAGCTCCACTTTGCGATGACTGATCTGGAGCTCCATGGAAGATTCAAAGTCGGTGGCTCGGAAACAGTGTATGATGTCAACAGGAGAGTGGCAGAGAAAACTCAAGTCTTGCCCCCCCTTCCGGAAGACAGGTTCCTTTGCAGCTTTCTCCATATATTCTCATGTAAGTGCCTTTGTTGTCTTGCATTATCCCTTGCTCATCTTTCTGAATGCCTTCTTGCAGCGGCATCATATGCAGCTGGATACTACAGCTACAAAGTAAGTTCTTGTAGAGTATAAAGTTTTGACTTTCTCTTATCGTTTCTTACCTTTGATTCATGCAGTGGGCAGAAGTTCTTTCTGCTGATGCTTTCGGGGCATTTGAAGAAGCTGGACTGGACAATGAAAACGTGAGTTTCTCAAAGTTACTGAGGATTTACTAACGCCTTATGTGCGTGCAGGCGATCAAGGAGACTGGAAGGCGATTCAGAGACACAGTTCTCGGGCTTGGAGGAGGCAAACCTCCTCTCGAGGTAAATTCACCCAACAAAAAGTTCTCCTTCCAACTTGTCCATCTATCCAGGTTTTCAAGAGCTTTCGCGGCAGAGAACCTTCCACTGAAGCGTTGTTGCGGCATAGTGGTCTATTGGCTGTGGCATCATAGGACTCAAAATTTTTCAATCACTCCAAAGGTTTGAGAATCGAAGTTTTAATCTTCTAATGGTATGAGCAGTCAAGACCCAAGAGTAAGAGAGCTCTACAGGATTGAGCAAGGGGATATAGACTTGAGTGACCACTCCTATGGGCTTCTCATCAAGAACTTCACCTCTCCCCCCCACTCACTCTCCCTCGCCAAGCGCCTCCACGCCCAGATCTCCAGGCGCGGCCGCGACCACAACACATTCCTCGGCAACTTGGTTGTGGACATGTATGCCAAGCTCGGCAGCCTCGAGGAGGCGAGCTCGGCGTTCCAGAGAATCCAGCAGAGGAATGTTTTCTCCTGGAACATCCTCCTCGCAGCACATAGCGCGAATGGGGATCTTGCTACGGCAAAGAAGCTCTTCGACAAGATGCCCGTGAGAGATACCGTGTCATGGAGCTCCATGGTGGGAGCGTTTGCACAGCACGAGCTTTGCGACGAGGCTGTTTCGTTGTTTCGAGAGATGCAGCTGGAAGGATCCAAGCCGGACAGGATAACTTTCATCAATGTGATCGATGCCTGTGCCGAGAAGCCGGCTCTCCAAGATGGAAAGTTCGTCTACAGCGTTTTGGCCGAAGATGGATTGGATTCCGACGTGAAAGTTGGCACCGCGCTGCTTAACATGTATGGGAAGTGTGGAAGTTTGCGGGACGCGGAGGCTTTGTTTGAGAAAATGCCGGAGAGGAACGCTGTCTCTTGGAACGCACTTCTTTCAGCATATGCCCAGAACGGGCATATGGAAAGTGCGAGGGAAGTGTTTGGGAGTATGCCTGAGAGGAATGTGGTGTCGTGGACGGGGATGATGGCCGGGTATGTCCAGAACGAGCTTTGTAAGGATGCGCTGGAGCTCTTTCTCTGGATGGAGAACGATGGCGTGAAGCCCAACGAGAACACTTTCATCGCTCTTCTCGATGCCTGCGCGAGCATGTCAGCTCTTTCGCAAGGGAGAGTTCTCCACGCTCGAGTCACTGCGGTGGGATTTGATTCCAAGCTCAAGGTTGGGACTTGTGTTCTTGAGATGTATGGCAAGTGTGGTAGATTGGAAGAGGCGAGAGCGGTGTTTGACAAGATGGTGAACAAGAGTGTGATCACCTGGAACGCGATGATCGGATCGTAC